GAAGGTCTCTGAAGCTGTCCCTGAAGTGAAGCAGAGAGAACCAGGCAGGCCAGAAACTTGGGCTTGGAGCCTGGGCCTGCAGGTGAAAGGGCTTCATCCCGGTATAAAAGGTTACCAAGTGTGGACGGACGCATACTATTGTGCCAAATAGCAATGGAGCACCTGTTATTAAAGTGGCCAATGATAATACTCTAGAACATGCTTTGAGACAGTTTCTTATCTACTTTTGTCCTTGCAACAGACCAAGGGAGCAAACTTGGACTTTCAAAAAACAAAAGTATCTGGGCAGTGCCTGTGGCTCAGTGAGTAGGGCTCCGGCCCCATATACTGAGGGTGGTGGGTTCAAACCCAGCCACAGCCGAACTGCAACAAAAAATAGCCAGGCGTTGTGGTGGGCACCTATAGTCCCAGCTATTTGGGAGGCTGAGGCAGAGAATCACCTAAGCCCAGGAATTGGAGGTTGCTGTGAGCTGTGACGCCACAGCACTCTACCAAGGGCAATAATGTGAGGCTCTGTCTCAAAAAAAAAAAAAAAAAGTATCATCTGTTACTATAACACTTACCAGGTGGTTCAATTTAATCATTTACCTCTGGTGGTGAGTTTCACAGGCAGCAGCAATGCTAATACAGGACTACTTGTCAGCCTAGGAAAGGAACTTGCTCCATTATTTAAAGAACTGGGACAAGTTGTGAAAGTTTCTTTCTTTTTTTTTTTTGTATGAAAGGTTTTATTGGTGGGGGAGGGAGGCTGTGGAGCAGCATTAAGGAAAAGAGAAAAGAGGGGAGAGTGGGAAGAGAAGGGAGAGAGGGAGAGTAGAGAAGAGTGAGGGGGAAGAGGGGTAGAGAGAAGAGTAGAGCAGACAGGCAGGAGAGTGGAAAGAGAAGAGCGTGGAAGTTTCTTAATCTGACAGTGGTTTCAATTTGTACTTTATGTTCATTATAGCAACATAGTATCAGTCCAAGAGTCTTTAGATCATAGCAATACTTTTATCCATTTGCTCAAGAAAGGGCCCCTTTTTCTACCTAAAGAAAGAGCTTAAAGATGTAATTTATAGACAGATTGATTTTTACATTTTTTGGGTAGGGTCTTTTCTTATTTAGTGAGATCTGAGGTTACCACAAAAATGGTTCTATGATAGCTCCCATGGAGTTAGTCCTGTCATCAGATATGGACAAGATTCCATTCAGTGAGTCAGAATCAAAATGGTGCATTGATCCACCTGGGCCACTGAGTGTTCCCCAGTACACAGTGCACTGAGTGCAAGGAAAATAAACTGGCTTAGTAAAATAATAAAATCAGTACAATCACTAAAAAAAAAAAGAATGAAGGTAAAATAAAGACATTTCGAGATAAACAAAAATGGAGAAAATACACTGCTAGTAGCCTGCCTTGTGAGACACACAAAAGGAAATTCCTCAGGCTGACAACAAGCAACCCAGACGGTAATTTAAATCCACGAGAACAAAGACAAAGAGGGCAGCAAAGGCGGCTATGAAATCACAGGAGGCAACGCAGCAGCTGGTTTCTTCTTTTTTTTTTT